TCAAGAAGTGTGAGGATGGTGAGTGTGGCAGCCTGGGGGTGCCCTGTGCCGTGTGGCCCCCACATGCTGAACTCCCCTGGCTGTCGGCAGCTGTCTGCATGACCTGCAATGGGGAGGATTACCGTGGCACCGTGGACCACACAGAGTCAGGGACTGAGTGCCAGCGCTGGGACCTGCAGCACCCACACAAGCACCCCTACCACCCCGACAAGTACCAGCCCTCAGCCCCAGAAAGCATGTGGCCCCTCTGGCTGTGCCAGGTGCCAGGGAAGTGGTCCCCCTCTCAGCCACTGCTCCCTGTCTCTGGCCCAGGTACCCTGACAAGGGTCTGGATGACAACTACTGCCGCAACCCTGACAGCTCGGAGCGGCCCTGGTGCTACACCACCGACCCTGGGCGGGAGCGTGAATTCTGCCGCATCCGCCTCTGCAGTAAGTCCTTGCTGGTGTTGCTACGTGGCTGGGACTGCGTGTCCCGGGTGCCACCCTGATTCTGCTGCTCTGCCCCGCAAGCAGAGAAACGCCCACGGACCCCCAATGTCACCACCAACTGCTTCAGGGGTAAGGGTGAAGGTTACCGGGGCCGGGTGAACATCACCGTGTCAGGGATCCCGTGCCAGCGCTGGGATGCCCAGACACCCCATCGGCACCACTTTGTGCCCGAGAAGTACCAGTGCAAGTAAGGGGGTGTGGGAGGATGCACTGGGCAGCACCCATGGGTGCGGGCTGTGGAGGAGTCACCCACGTGGCCCCTCTGCCAGGGACCTGCAGGAGAACTACTGCCGCAACCCGGATGGCTCGGAGGCACCATGGTGCTTCACCTCCCGCCCCAACATCCGCATCGCCTTCTGCTTCCATATCCGCCGCTGTCCTGATGAGCTGGGCACCCAAGGTGAGCTGCCGCCGGGCACCCACCCCCAGGCTGCTTGCTGGGGGTGCCAGCCCTCTCTGCCTGTCCCCAGAGTGCTACCACAGCCACGGCCAGCACTACCGTGGCCACGTCAGCAAGACACGAAAAGGCATCACCTGCCAGCCCTGGGCTGCCCAGGAGCCGCATGTGCCCCAGTGAGTGTGTGAGGGGTCACGGATGGGGATGGGAGTGGAGATGGGGTTGAAGGTATGGATGGAAAAGGGGATGGAGATGGATGGGAATGGAGCTGGAGATGGGGATGAGGTTATGGATGAGGATGAAAATGGAGATGGGGATGGTGACTTCTTCCTGGCAGGATCTCACCTGTTACCCACCCTGAGGCACACCTGGAGGAGAACTACTGCCGCAACCCTGATAAAGACAGCCATGGCCCCTGGTGCTACACCATGGACCCCCGGACCCCTTTTGACTACTGTGCCATCAAGCCCTGCTGTGAGACCCTACCCACACCACTACAGAGCCAGGGGGGTCCCCAGCCACCCTCAGGGGCAATTTCAGTCCCCCCATGGTAGCTGAATCCTGCCCTGGTGCCACCCTCTTCTTTCTCTCCACAGCTGGCAGTGCAGTGCCCTCCATCTTGGAGAACACAGGTTGGTACCAGGTGGGTGTCACGGGGTGGGTGCCAGTGGCATGTCCCCAGCTGATGCCCACCCTTCTCACAGACGGGGTGGCCTTCGAGCAGTGTGGCCAGCGGGATGAAAGGCTGCAGCGCAAGGGGCGCATTGTCGGTGGCCAGCCCGGCAACTCCCCCTGGACCGTCAGCATCCGCAACCGGTGAGCGGGTGCCGCACTGGCACCGCCGTGTGGCCGGTGTCCCTCCCCTGCTGGGAGCTCATCCCCTGTCCCTGCAGGGCCGGCGTGCACTTCTGTGGAGGGTCTCTGGTGAAGGAGCAGTGGGTGATCAGCACGCGCCAGTGCTTCTCCTCTTGGTAAGACCCCCAAGGGTTGGGGTGTTAGGTTCTGGAAACCCTCCCATATCCTCACATCCTCATCCCACAGTGATGCCGACCTGGCAGGCTACGAGGTGCAGCTGGGGACACTCTTCAAGGACCCTGGCCCTGGGGACCCCGACCAGCAGACTATCCCCATCGCACGGATCGTCTGCGGCCCTTCCGAGTCCCAGCTGGTGATGCTGAAGCTGGCGAGGTGAGAGGTCCTGCTCTGGCCCCTGCCATGCCCCGCTGCCCCCCGGGCTGGCACCACATCCTGGTGCCCCTCTTACTGCAGGCCGGCCACCCTGAATGGGCGAGTGGCCCTGATCTGCCTCCCACCTGAGCGCTATGTCGTGCCCGCTGGCACCACCTGCGAGATTGCCGGCTGGGGGGAAACCAGAGGTACTAGCTGTGGGCAGCCCCTGCCCAGCACAGCCCCTGCCATTTCCCTGCCATGGCTTCCCTCTGCCCACAGCATCCTGCTGCTTGAAATATCCCCATGTCCCTGACATCTCCTTACTCATAGGATCCCATTTCATGGCATCCCCCTTCCATGGCATTTTTCTGCCCAGGACATCCTCCTGCCCATGCCACTGTCCAGCATCAGCATCCCCTGCCCACAGTATCCTCCTATCTACAGCATCCCTCTGCCCATGCCATTCCTCACCAACAGCATCCCCGTGCCCATGATATCCCCTGCCTGAAGTACCCCCTGTGAGGGCACTCCCACCTCGCATGCAGTGTGGCCCCACCCAGGGCACGCCCCCACTCGTGGCACCCCATGCCACAACATCCTCCATCCATGCATCCCCCTGCCCCTGTGCCACCTGCCTGCTCATTGCCTGCAGGCACAGGGGACAGCAGCGTGCTGAACGTGGCGTGGCTGCCCGTGTTGGCCCACAGCGAGTGCCACGCGGCGCTGCGTGGGCGCCTGAAGGAGAGCGAGCTGTGCACGGCGCCGCTGCGCGCTGGCGTGGGGGCCTGCGAGGTGAGCTGGGACGGGGGCTGCAGCCCCAGGGAGCCCGTGGGCACTGGCACCAGGGTGATGCCGCTGCTCTCTGGAATCCACAGGGAGATTATGGGGGGCCACTGGCCTGCCTCACTGCCAACTGCTGGGTGCTGGAGGGGGGGGCACCATGGACCCGCGGACCCCTTTTGACTACTGTGCCATCAAGCCCTGCTGTGAGACCCTACCCACACCACTACAGAGCCAGGGGGGTCCCCAGCCACCCTCAGGGGCAATTTCGGTCCCCCCATGGTAGCTGAATCCTGCCCTGGTGCCACCCTCTTCTTTCTCTCCACAGCTGGCAGTGCAGTGCCCTCCATCTTGGAGAACACAGGTTGGTACCAGGTGGGTGTCACGGGGTGGGTGCCAGTGGCATGTCCCCAGCTGATGCCCACCCTTCTCACAGACGGGGTGGCCTTCGAGCAGTGTGGCCAGCGGGATGAAAGGCTGCAGCGCAAGGGGCGCATTGTCGGTGGCCAGCCCGGCAACTCCCCCTGGACCGTCAGCATCCGCAACCGGTGAGCGGGTGCCGCACTGGCACCGCCCTGTGGCCGGTGTCCCTCCCCTGCTGGGAGCTCATCCCCTGTCCCTGCAGGGCCGGCGTGCACTTCTGTGGAGGGTCTCTGGTGAAGGAGCAGTGGGTGATCAGCACGCGCCAGTGCTTCTCCTCTTGGTAAGACCCCCAAGGGTTGGGGTGTTAGGTTCTGGAAACCCTCCCATATCCTCACATCCTCATCCCACAGTGATGCCGACCTGGCAGGCTACGAGGTGCAGCTGGGGACACTCTTCAAGGACCCTGGCCCTGGGGACCCCGACCAGCAGACCATCCCCATCGCACGGATCGTCTGCGGCCCTTCCGAGTCCCAGCTGGTGATGCTGAAGCTGGCGAGGTGAGAGGTCCTGCTCTGGCCCCTGCCATGCCCCGCTGCCCCCCGGGCTGGCACCACATCCTGGTGCCCCTCTTACTGCAGGCCGGCCACCCTGAATGGGCGAGTGGCCCTGATCTGCCTCCCACCTGAGCGCTATGTCGTGCCCGCTGGCACCACCTGCGAGATTGCCGGCTGGGGGGAAACCAGAGGTACTAGCTGTGGGCAGCCCCTGCCCAGCACAGCCCCTGCCATTTCCCTGCCATGGCTTCCCTCTGCCCACAGCATCCTGCTGCTTGAAATATCCCCATGTCCCTGACATCTCCTTACTCATAGGATCCCATTTCATGGCATCCCCCTTCCATGGCATTTTTCTGCCCAGGACATCCTCCTGCCCATGCCACTGTCCAGCATCAGCATCCCCTGCCCACAGTATCCTCCTATCTACAGCATCCCTCTGCCCATGCCATTCCTCACCAACAGCATCCCCGTGCCCATGATATCCCCTGCCTGAAGTACCCCCTGTGAGGGCACTCCCACCTCGCATGCAGTGTGGCCCCACCCAGGGCACGCCCCCACTCGTGGCACCCCATGCCACAACATCCTCCATCCATGCATCCCCCTGCCCCTGTGCCACCTGCCTGCTCATTGCCTGCAGGCACAGGGGACAGCAGCGTGCTGAACGTGGCGTGGCTGCCCGTGTTGGCCCACAGCGAGTGCCACGCGGCGCTGCGTGGGCGCCTGAAGGAGAGCGAGCTGTGCACGGCGCCGCTGCGCGCTGGCGTGGGGGCCTGCGAGGTGAGCTGGGACGGGGGCTGCAGCCCCAGGGAGCTGCTGGGCACTGGCACCAGGGTGATGCCGCTGCTCTCTGGAATCCACAGGGAGATTATGGGGGGCCACTGGCCTGCCTCACTGCCAACTGCTGGGTGCTGGAGGGGGGGATCACCCCCTCCCGTGTCTGTGCCCGCACCGACCAGCCTGCCCTCTTCATCCGTGTCTCCCTCTATGTCGACTGGATCCACAAGGTGATGAAGATGGGCTGAGCTGGCTCAGCCCCAGCCTGGCACAGCTGCCGCCATGCAATAAAGGCCCTGCCATGGCAGAGGATGTTGGCACTGTCTGGGATCTCAGATGTTTATTTAACAGCAAACCTCAACCCACATCCTGTCCTGCCTTGGCTGTGCTCAGTTCATCCTCTGGTCCTGGTGTAGTCTCTGGGGCCAGCTGTCACCCTAGGCCTGCACAACCACAAGGCAACCACAGGTGCTAGGGGCTGTGCTGGCCCATCTCACCCTGCTGGGGCTGCCCCAGGTGCTGGAGAAGCCAGCGAGCACAGTTCCTGAAGACATCAGCCTCTATCTCCACACCGGCCAGTGCATGGCCACCCTCTGGGTACCACAGCAGCCTGCGGGGTGGGACAGGATACTCAGCCAGCACCTCAGGCATCCCTGCCTGTTTCCACACCCCTGCACCCCACTCACCGTACTGGCACCCCCTTGGCCCGCAGCACCCGGTACAGCTCCAGTGCTTGTGTGGGGCTGACGCGTCGGTCCCTGGCGCCCACACACAGCAGCACTGGTGTCCGCACCTGCAGCACAGCTTGTGTTGGGTGCCCGAAGCCCAGCACGCAGCACCCCATGGGCACCCTGCCCATGCCTTGCCTGTGCTGCCTGGGCAATGGGCGAGCGCAGCAGCATGATGGCCAGCTCCTCAGCGTGGGGCACCCGCTCGAAGGAGTAGGGCAGCCCCAGGGAGGTGTAGCGCCTGCAGCACAGCAGTGCTGGTGGGTGCCATGGGGATGCAGCACAGCATGGCACAGCATGAGTAGGGGTGGCACTCACCAGTCGGGGATGTCAGAGGTGCCCAGCAATGCGGGCAGGTTGGAGACGGGGCTGCGCAGGGCACAGGCTTTGTACCGCTCTGGCTCACGGATGAGGAGGTGGAGGGCGATGAAGGCTCCGTGGGAGCCAGCCAGCAGGGCCAGGCGGTGTGGGTCCAGGGCTTCACTGCGCAGGGCCTGCTCCACTGCCAGCTGCACCCATGGGGCACCCACCCATCAGCACCCACTGTCATCACCAACCATCAGCACCCACCAGCCCCCCAACCCTCACCTGGGTGTCAGCCACATCCTGTTCACCCATGCAGGAGATCAGGGAGCTGATGCTGGCCTGGCCAAAGCCCACGGACCCACGGTAGTTCACTGGGGACACAGAGACCATAGGTACCACATGCCCAGCAGTGCACAGGTGCCACCTGTCCCCGGGTCCCCCAGCACTCACCCAGGAGCACAGCGAAGCCCATCTGGCACAACGCAGCCATGCCTGGGCGCCAGCGGGCATCGAAGATGGCATGGGGGCCACCTGGGGCCAGTTAGGACATCACCCAGAGTGCCACCACTGCCACCACGGTGACCCCTCTGTCCCCTCACTCACCGTGGGGGCACACAACCAGGGGGTGTGGCACAGTGCCATCCAGTGGGCTCATCAGCAGTGCCTCAAAGGCCTGGGCACCTGCACCAGGGGAAGGGTCCCGTCAGCACCCACCACCTGGCACTCACTCCCTACCCACCCCCACACCCGAGGGTCCCTGGCTCCCGGCACCCAGGCGCGGCAGGGACCCCCAGGTGCTCACCACTGCAGGGCGGCTGAACCGTCAGGGTCTTCCAGGTGACACCGGGCACTGTTGGGGCGTCCTCCACCGGTACCCAGCTGAGCGACAGCTCTCGGCCTGCTGGCGGCAGCACAGCCACCACCTGGGGACAGGCAGCAGGTGGCACCCCTGCCCCAGGGCAGCTGGCCCTACCGAGGTGGAATCGAACCCATTGTGCCACGGTCCCAGTGCTCTGTAGAGCCACCCTGTGCCATGCCACACTGTGTCACACTGTGCCATCCTGTGCAGTGCCATCCTGTGCCACCCTGTGCCATGCCATGCTGTGCCAGCCTGTGTCGTGTCGTGCCTGGTCACACTGCCCTGCGCCATGCTGTGCTGTCCTTGGCTGTGCCATGCTGTACCTGGCCCTGGCATGTTGTGCCAGATTCTGCTGTTGCTTGCCATAATGTGTCATACAATAACAATGGTGGATCTGGCTGTGCCACACCAGGCTGTGCAATACTGTGCCAGGCTGTGCTGTTCCTAGTTATGCCGTGCTGTGCCATGCTGTACTGTGCCACGCCACGTGGTGCCAGGGCTCTGCTCACCAGGCTGGGGGGACAGTGAGGGGCTGAGCAGGTGGCCACCAGCAGGTCCCACTGGAGAGTGAGCAGCTCCCAGCACCCTTTGGATGACCCTGGGAAGAGACACAGGCTAGTGATTGCAGATGCTCACTGGAGCACCGCGGGCAGCCTGGTAGCACATACTGGCCGTCAGGTTGGTGATGGTGGCTGTCTCCGTGTCCACAAGCAGCAGGTCCTGTAAGGGGTCAGAGCACAGGCAGCCATGCCACTGTAGAGTGCAGGGGCCATGTCCCTGTCCCTGCCCATCCCCAGGTCTCACCGTGCGACTCTTCTGTGGGGTCCCCAGTATGGCTCGTCGGCTGTCAGCTGCCCAGCACCGCGGTGGCAGGGCGTCCCCGTAGAGACCAGTGAAGGCTGTGAGTGGAACAGAGCACCAGTGAGATGGGGCCATGGGCACCAGAAGCCACAAGAACCCAGCCTGGGGTCCCGGCCCTCCAGCAACGCCCAGCTCTACCCACGGTGCTGCCCTCACCCTCCGTGGGTTCCTGCACCACGTCAAGCACCGTCACAGTCTGCCTCGTCTGCCAGGTGAGCTGGGGAGAGCCAGCAGGTGAGGATGGAGAAAATGAGGCAGGGGGATGGGAGGAGGATCCCACCCCGGTGTGGCTGGGCACTGCTGGCAGCACAGCCATGCCTGGCACCTGCAGTGCACCTCACCATGCGCAGGCGCAGGCACTGCCGGTGGGACCCCCCCAGACCTCCTTCCAGGTAGAGCAGGTGGTGGCCATCAGGGCTCAGCCGGGGGGAGAAGGCGACCCCATGCTCAGCAGACAGCAGCTCTGTGGGGGGGTTGGGGGTCAGCACCCTGGGGACTCTAAGGACCCCGGGCACCTCCCACATCCATGGTACTCACCGCAGTGCCTACTGGCCAGGTCTAAGTGGAAAATCCCTGACCTGGGAAGGAGATGTGGGTTAGGTTGGAGTCTCATGGGCATGCTGAACCCCACATGTATGGGATGGACATCCCTGCATGGCACTACATGCCAGGGGACTCACCTCCTGTTGGAGCAGGCGTTCAGCCCCAGGCGGAAGGGCTCATGCCACCAGCCCACAAATACCACGCCGCGGTCATCTGGCGACCACAGGGCCTGTGCAACAGCTGGGCTCATCCCACAGCCCTGGCATAGTTCCCCAGGGCTCCCCCCACTCCCTGTCCTGACCTGGCCGGAGGAGAGGTGCTCCGGGACACCCTCCAGCACTGAGATACTGCTGTTTTCCACGTCCAAGGCACAGAGGACAGGCACGCTGCGGGTGCTCAGTGCCTCACCCCAGTCCTCGTGGTACACGAACTGCTCACCCTGTGGCACAGCCCCGCTAGCCCCATGGCTGGTGGCCCTAGGCATGGGGCTCCATGCATAGCACGCTCAGGGGGTGCCTGGCACATTTATGGGGTGCATGGCACACTCCTGGGGCACGTGGCATGTTCACAATGTGCATGGCAACCTCACAGGGTGCACAGAGCACACTCCTGGGGTGCATGGCACGCTCACGGGGCACACGGCACCCACCTCCTCATTGTCATCCTCCTCGGCTGGCCTGGCTGCTCCTGGCACAGCCCAGGGGCTGGGGGGTGGTG